GAATGTTTGTAATGATATCCTCTTTGCAAAATTTGGGATGCTTAAGGATTTTAGAAAGATCTTCATATGCACTAGTCGCTAAAAATAACAATAACATATTAATTAAGCATAAATATATTAAAACACAAAAACCAAAAAGGAAAACACAAAAACCGATCAAAACTTTAAATTCAGAAAGGAAATATTAATTACTGATTATTTCTATTATTAAAAATTTCCTTTTGAATTTAGACAAGGCCCGAATAATACTAATAAAGGTTACGTTGACTTTAAAATCTGCAACACTGATTGATTAAACCTTATTTTAACTAACCAGCATTGCAGAAAAGTAGATGCAGCAATGAAACTTGCACAATGTTATTGTTACTTACAAATCATATGCTTTGTAATCCACACATATAACATTGTTGACGTAAAATTTGGAAAATATGGTCTATACTCTCCGTCGAAACCTTCAAATTCTGATGACTCTTCTTCTAAAATGTCGTCATTTATTTGACCTTCTTCTGTAATAACAACCAATAGTCTATGAGTAAATTCTTGAAAATGATTATCAGCTTGTTCCAGCTTCTAATTGAAAACATATATATATATGCAATAATATTTTATATATGAATAATTTAATGTATTTATCAACAATGGACCTCGTCTGCCAATATTTCTGTTTCAGCTTCTTCATCAGTTTCTTCAACAATTTCTTCATCAGTATTTTTATCAGTTTCTTCATCAGCATTTTCATTGGTTTCTTCATCAGTATTTTCATTAGTTTCTTTATCAGTATTTTTATTAGTTTCTTTATCAGTATTTTCATTAGTTTCTTCATAAACTTCTTCATCGACTTCTTCATCCATTTCTCTACTAATTTCATCAGCTTCAGCATCAGTAAAACTTAAATTGTATTCTTGAGGAGAAAAATTCTCTATAACATCTGTATCAACAGAATTCTCTATGTCAGACAATCCTTTTTTATATCATTTTCTAGTGCGTAACTTCGTTATGTCCGTATAGAGATAAGTTGTTCTTTTAGATCGTTTCATAGTATGAATTTGATTTTTGATGTTTGTTGAATTTAATTTTTGGTAATCTATAACTAATGTAATTTATATTTTGCATGGTTAATTAATAATACATAATATGCATAATAAAAAAGTCAATCACGCATGATCGAAAGGTAAATAATACATAATGAAATATTTAACTATTTATGATAAAAGCAACATGTAATGATGTAATACGTATAGGTAATTATTTAACTATTTATGATAAAAGAATCATGTAATGACTTGTAATGCGTATAGTTAAATTATTTAACAATATATATAGTAAAAAAATACTAAAATATTAATTTATTTTCGCCAAACCATGGCACCTAAAAAAAACAAAGCTCGTAAGTGGATAAAGTAATATTTTCAAATTCCTTTATAGTTATATCTTTATTAAGTAGAAGTTTATATAGCTGTTATGAAATTCAAGGCACCAGTTACGAAAAGAAAAGCACCAACTATAAGAAGTATGACACCTATTAAAACTCGGGCAAAAAAAGCTATAGGTATATTATTTAATTTGTTTAATTCATTTACGTCTATAATTTTTTATTTGAAAATGATAATAATATATATAGGTTCAGCTTCTAAGGTATCGGCTTTGCCCTTGAGGAAAAGACAAAACAATAAAAAATCAGCGAATGAAAGAATCAAAAATTATAATGAGGAAGGTAAGGAAGGTGAGGAAGATGGGAAAAATGGAGAAGATGGGGAAGATGATATAGGAGAATATGAACAATGCTTGGAGGAATTAGAGGAAGATAATACAGATATATTATTTAATTGTTTAATCATTGTGTATATAATTTTATATTTTAATAAACAACTTGAAATGATATTAATATACAGGTTCAGCTTCTAAAACATCAGCTTTGCCTTTGAGAAGGCAAAATAGTCAAAAATCAGTGAATGTGCGAGATTAAGGAACTGGAAACCAAATTGCTGTAATTTCTATTGACGATGATGAACACCGCTTAGAGAATAATTATGAAGAATCTGGTATGTATTAAGTATGTGATTTGAATAATTTAAATAATCAACCACTTCATTTATAATGTATTTAATTTATAGGCACCTTAAATTATACTACCAAGAATGGTATATAGTATTATTTTTATAGTTTATTAATTTATTTAAAAAAAAATGCATATAGACCGAGTTTCAAATATATCAAATAAATAAAATTTTGTACTAATATTACTTATTCCTTATAACTATCATTTATTTAGATAATTATTCTAATCCTTCTAAAGCGGTTGCAATCAATAAAACATCATACATTGAAAAGATATTACCTGCCAAGAATTCAGCAAGTAAGGTTTCGCACGCGAATACCTATACATTACGTATGATAACGATGGATCCACATGTGGCAACAGAAACTTCTACAGCAATGCCAGTATGTAGAAATGAGACTTCATATACGACAGCAGTGGCTTCAGCAGCAATACCAACGGACATAAATGAGGGTACAGATTATTTTGTTTAATGTAATCCGATATATAGCAAAGCCTACATATTAACAATTTACATATTTAATAGATCAAATTACAAAGTTTTCTATATCAAACGAATTTGATATCGCATTATGGGTGGCTAACTACCCAAGAATCCTGAATTTAGCTATGATTATTCAACGTGCCCAAGTAATGAATACTGATGATAGTTCTAAGACATCCTTGGATAATGATAATATGTTGAATAATATACAATCAAACATTTCCATTTCAGAAATAGGCCATGTAAAATTTCAACTATTTTAACAAATATTAATAGTATAAACTAATTTGTATGCTCTTCAATTTTAGTATAAGAAAATTAATCTCCAAAATGAGTGTAAAGCTCTTTTTTTACGCACAAGAAATAACACATATGAACTATATGAAGAATTAATTACACGTGTGTGTGAAATTCCAAAAACTAATGTTCGTATGAAAACGTTGATTAAGGATGTCGGTACTTGGTATGATAGTTACCGATGTAACTTTCATTGTTCTATCTTAGGCCTTGCAAATCAATACTCCCAAATTCATGAAGGGTAAGTACGTACGCAAGTGCTAAATGGTATTACCCAAGATCCAATATCAATAATATTTAAAGTTTGAATACTGTATGTGGTAATTAACAAAAAATAATTATTAATTTTAGGGAAGAACTTGTAGATAGTGAGTTAGCTGAATTTGTAAATGCAAGTGTATAGCGTCAAATACTTCAATTGCACTTGAAGTGCACTGATATGGTGGAAATGGCAAAGGATCCAGAAATATTCACTAAGCTTGGCATTTTCGCGTACCAAGCTCTTAAAGCAGTTCTTATTGCAGGAAATAATTATCAAAGTACATCAGCTGCAATCAAAACTTGCGATGAATATACCGTAGATCTAAAATCCCAACTAGACTTGGCGTCGTGAAATCATTGCCAGTCAGAGAACTCCTGAATTTATAAGCCTCTCTGTAAATACATTATTGCACTAAATATTAGTTATATGCATGTAATTAAAATTAGTATTCAATAAATATTGCAAATCATTTAAATGCG